TTTTTTTGATCACTCCTCTACAGATTCTGTTTTTGTTTATCTCCAAGGTCTTTAGATAATTGTTTGTTGCATTTTGTTGGAAGCTTATAGTTGTTATCTATGGAAAGGCTGGTCTGGTAGGAGATTAGTCAGTCATATCAGATGTGAAACTTCTTTTATTATTCTTAAGTAATAGATTAATTTTTGCTTACATAAAGTCTTAAATAGTTATTTCTAATGAACATCTATCCATGTGATTACTCAGTGTCTCAGCTCCTTCTATCTTGTGATTCTGCTCTTTTCAGGAGCAATAGGTGGAGAAAGCAAATGGAACACCACACTCAGGAGGTTTGTATGGCCAGGCCGGGAGGCATAGCATTCATTTCCACTCACGTTCTATTGGATAGAAGTCAGTTACATAGCCACATCTCATTCAAGGGAGCCTAAAGAATGTAGTCTAACTCTGGCTCGGAAAGAAGAGGAGATAAGTTTTCTAATCACCTAGCAGTCTCAGACACAGAGTTTCAATCATTAATGTTTTTAGCAGAATTACTGTACACTGCATCTCCTGAAGAAATTTTAAAATGCTCACAGTATCTTTCCTTAATATCCATTAAGGATTCCCCAAACTGTAAGTAATATCTTCTCATTATCTTTATCTTGTAACATTGTCTGAAATATACTTTTGCAGAAATATTATTCAAGTTGGGATATGACTTTCATACACATCTATGAATTCATTTAAAAACATTATTGAACATGGCCTATATCCAAGATTTACGAGAAATAGTCACTGCTGCAGAGCACTTTATTGTCATTAACGCAGGGAAAGAAGAATAACAAAGTTCTGCCAAATTATTATTACAGAACAACTTATACTCAGTATATGAGGTCATAATTCAAGTTTAACAGACAAGAAAACATATCTTTCATTCATTTCCTTTTATTATTGTGAGGAATATTATTGTGGCAAATAAGATGGACTAACAGCAAAAAGGTCACTAACTTTGAGTCAATGAAGCAAATCCCGTATTAGAATATGATGCTAGAGATAAAGGGATAAGAATGAGAAAACTCTCATTTATATCTATCTTTTAAAAATAAAGGGACAACACTCTCCACTTCAACAACTTTCTTTTCCTTTTATTATTGTGAGGAATATTATTGTGGCAAATAAGATGGACTAACAGCAAAAAGGTCACTAACTTTGAGTCAATGAAGCAAATCCCGTATTAGAATATGATGCTAGAGATAAAGGGATAAGAATGAGAAAACTCTCATTTATATCTATCTTTTAAAAATAAAGGGACAACACTCTCCACTTCAACAACTTTCTTTCTGAGACAGATTCTGCCTTTTTTTTTTTTTTTTTTTTTTTTTTTTTTTTTTTATATCTATCTTTTAAAAATAAAGGGACAACACTCTCCACTTCAACAACTTTCTTTCTGAGACAGATTCTGCCTTTTTTTTTTTTTTTTTTTTTTTTTTTTTTTTGTTAAAAACCTCATAGAGTTTTTTTTGTAAATA